TGTAGGGAAGAAACAACACGCACAGACACTGACCAATGGGCCAGTGTGGAGTGTTTTCCAGTAGTCCTCAAGAGACAAAATAATAAAATAGGGTAAATGTGGACCAAGAGTCAGACAACACTGATTTTCAAACTTAGCTTTAATACTTACAAGGCTATGAGAATTTGGGCCAATAAACTTTGTAAGCTGACATTTCTTCATCCACGTGGTGGACAGAACGGGAGAGCTGATTAGACAATCATTTTGGGCAGACAAAACACTTGGTGTATACTAGTCATTCAAAGTCATTTCCACAAGCATTTGTGGAATGTGTGAGTGAACTTGGACGCAAGTACTCGGATAAAATACAAAACACATGCTGATCAAATTTATAGGTCACATAAACCTATTAAAGACGATGGCTGCTCTGAAGCTGAAAAGATAGCTACCAGCCTAGAAGTTATTCCCCATCACCTCCCACCATCTTCCTCCCGGCTAAAACATGCCTCTCACCATAAAGATGGCAAATCTGTCCTTTCACACACTCCTTTACCACTGCATCATGAGTGCGTGATATTAAAAGAAAAAAGCTGTACTAGGATGACTCCATGGCCTGGTGGTTATGGCAGTCTGATTCCAAATGGCTGACCTTGAGGTTCAAGGACCCAGCAGCTTGAGAAACACACTAAGTACATGTTCATGCATGACCAAAGTCTCACAAAGAGGGAGAAATGGAGGAGAAAGAATTACAATGTGACACCCCCACGGGGGGGGGGGCGGTGCTTTCTTCTCTCTTTCTCTCTCTCTCTCTCTCTCTGTCTATCTCTGGCAACCATACACACCCTTTAGCAAAAAAAGAAAGAAAGAGACAGAGAGAGAGAGGGAGATCTTTGGTCTGAGATTGTCTTGCTTGAATTTGCACCTGGAACCTCATTTGCTGTCTTGCAGCCACAAAGAGAAGAGTCTAAAGAAGTCGGCAAGAAACTGAGGGCACGAGAGAAAGCATAGAACCCTGTAAAGTGAGATATTATGTTTTCCTAAATATTCAGTCTATTATCAGGTGCTATGGCTACTGGGATCCAGAAAGGTCTTGATAGACATGTAATGGGCTCTGAAAGAAATTTATCAGAAACAATAACTGTAAAATCATATGGTTTGTCCTGCAATTTTATTACAATGTAAACAAACAACCTGGGGAGAGTACATAAAATCTGGATAAGGGATGGAGACATAATAGATTTAAAAAACATAGAGTGCGATGTACATCTGGGATGTGCTTGTGCTTCTAACCACAGTTAGACACAAATGTAGGCTGGCTCCGGGACGCAGCAATAAGGCACTGCCCAAGGGAAGCCGGATCCCACATAGTGACCACAGTTCAGGGCCAGGCAGCCTCACACAGACTGGGCATGCATTTGAGCACCTGAGAGTCAAGGGACGGCAGGAAGGGGATTGCGGCATGGCCACAGCCTGAGCAGAGTGTTCAGTGCTCTTTCTGTCTCTCTCATGAAGGCAAGTTTATTGTCAATAAAGAAGAAAATTGAGAAGATATATACCTGTACCCAGCACCACAGAGCTAAATAACATGATGACAAAGAAAGAAAGGAAGAGAAAATCGAAGTTTTGATACATACATAGACACAAACCTAAATAATTTCCATAAATACATGCAAATTCATGTATATAGATAATATGCTACAGAGGTTTACAGGATGAGAAAAGAAAAATGAAAGGCTGAGGGAACACAATAGACCAGAAGGAGACATAATAGAAAAAAGACTAGAGTGGCATAAATAGAATATACTAAGATAAATATAATAGAAGTAGAGTGATAGTATGAAACAGGATACATATAAATAGCACTGGCTTCTAAAATCCTATGTGGCTTTGGGGCTGTGATGGCAGACGATAGTCTATGAAGAAAAAGAAATGACAATTTCCAGAGTTCACCACAAAATCTTTGTTGTATTTTTTTTTTTATTTCAAAAGCATCTATGTTTAAAAACAGAGATTGCAAAGCGAATTAACTATTTCCTCATGCCCTACTTCGTTTATTATTATTTCAGACCCCAAATAAGCTTGATTATCAAATACGATAGGTGTTCAAGTAGTTCATGAAAAGTGCATGTTGCGAAAAAATTATCTGTGTATTTCTTTGCACCAAAATAAACTCATACTTTAATTCCATTTTCCCACAAGCTTTTTGAAGTTTCCTCATCTTTCACTTTGCAGTAGAATGAAATTAGCACAGGAGGAGGACGAGCAGAGCTTCCATGCATATTTTCAGACACAAGCAATGACAGCTGAGAGCCGGGCAGGGGACAGAAGTGGATGGAACCACCATTTCCTGGGTCCCAGATCTGCAGCAGGCTTTTTTTTTTTTTTTGGAGAGGTTTTTGCTATAGGTCGCGTGCGCTCGCCAGACAGACAGAAAGAGACAGAGAGATAGAAAGCGAGAAATCACCCCCCAGGGGGATAGCCACGCTGCAATCCCTTCTCCTCCATTCTCCTCTTGGGATCTTGGGCACGCATGCACATGTGCCCAGCGTGAGTTTAAGCCACCGGGTCTGGGACTTGAACCACGGTTGACTATGTGGGAGTCCAGCGACATAGCCATTACGCTAACTCTGGTCCCTGCAGCAGGCCTTGTGGGAGGGACTTTACCTCATGGCCATTTATCATTTCAATAGATGCTGAAGAGAGCATGCTTCCTTCATTTCACACATGACTAATGGAGGCAAGTTGGAGATGGTGCACCATCTGCCTAACTCTGGAGGGAAGACTGTATTTTTCTCTACAACATGTAAGTTTGAATCCTAGTCTCTGTGGCTTGAGAAGCATGCTGGGCATGTGTGCATGCATGCCCCAAATATTAATGGGATGGAGAAATGGAGGAGAAAGAAATGGCATGTAACCATGTGTCACTGGAGGTACTTTCTCCCTCCTTCCCTCTCTTTCTCTCTTTCTCTGTCTCCCTCTGGAGAGCACATACACCTTCTGACCAAAAAAAAAAACTTAATAAAGAAGAAAACAAGGTAGTTGGTTTATTTTCTTCTTCCATAAAATAGAGAAAGAGAGGGACAGAAAGAAAAAAAGAGGCACTCCAATAGGGTCTTCATGCCGCAATCCACCCCAATCCTCAGTGATCTGGGATCAAGGACATGAACACAAGGGCCCGGCGTGGACAGGGAGACCTTGGGATGCAAACACCAGACTTCCCTTGCGACCTCAAGCATCAAGAAACCTTGCATTCCCACCGCACCACCGCAGCAGGCCTCAAAAGCTCTTTCATGCAGGCTACTCCCAACCTTAATGTTATTAGAAAAATGTGGTGTCACTACTGGAGATTTGCTTTGTGTGTTTGAGCTGTGCGTGCACGCGTGTGTGTGTCCAGCATAAAGCATGGGATTGTTTCCCCCGTATCTATTCTTTTGTTCTACTTTATTCTACACTATTTTAAAGTTATGATAAGAGAGACACATACATACACTCTCTAGACCTGATATTTGTTCACCATATGGGAGCTCAGTTAAAAAATACTGAGCCCAGAGGACGATTCGTTTCAGTCTATTGTGTGAAAAGTGTTCTGAGATCTTCAAACGAAAGACAAAATAGCTGCCGAAAGCTTTGCATTTCAGTCCTACATCTCACTTGCTTTTATACTTCAAAAGTCACACTTTGAAGCTCCGTGGATATAGGTAAGTGATTTTTAGTAATTTTATGGTCTAACACGTAGAAAGCACAGCATTGCACATACTCGTTCTTGTTGACTTTACTTTGAAAAGTAATTTCAGAGAAATTCAACCCAGTTCAACCCAAACTCTCCTAATTGGCTTTGATCAGTAAATCATCAGAAACGGCTCTGCTCTTGCTTAGTCCTTTTTTCCCCTCTTCTTGTCAAAATGAATGATTAAACACTCAAGTTATGGTGAATTACAAAAACCTGCTTTGTATTGAGTTGAGTGTGTCGCTATTCCAAGTAACGTTTGCTTATTCTCTGCCGTGGTAGAAAATGACTTTACATTCTTTAGTAGTCTCTGTTTGTCATTTCTCACAAATTTATTCATATTTTCATTCTGCACAGCTATGGAAATGTCAGAGGCCACGTGGAATTACTAACCGGGAAAGGCCTGATATTCAAGGCGCTTCACAATCCCCTGTCAAGGGCACATATGCGCGGGCCCACCATGTTCAGGGAGATTGGGATGCAAAGGCCGGACCCCTCATGTGGCTCCAGCATTGACGAGGAGCTTTTGTTTATCTCCCACCATTATTCTAAACTACCCACTACTTAAACAGTCAGAATTAATTTTTTTTTAGTGGAATAAAAATTAAAACACATTCTTTCTCACTCCGTTTAGTGTTCTAGCTTCCCGCCCACTCAGCTGATGACTGTAGCAAACTGAACTGTAGTGCTAGAAGCCACATGGCTGACCACACATTCAGATCCCCCGGTCAGCCTGAAAACATTCCCAGTACTCATAGGATGTCCAGTCTTCGGACAAGCTGGAAGTTCTGGAAAGGAGGTTGTGCTGTGATGAGAAGCTTTGAGGGTGCTTTTCTCTCTCTCTTACAGGAATAAAATACGTAAACTTTAAAATATCAATTTCCTTCTAGGGTTCAGCTCAGGTGGTCCTTATCCCTACTGGAATGCCTTTCCTTCGTAATTCTCATTCACGGTTTTCCTGGAATATATGAGGCTTCTCCATGGGAAACCAGCACAGGATACATTGCATTGTTATTTATTATTTAATTTTAGTGATTTGCTTTTCTCAGCTGTATTGTAAGACATGTAAGCGTGACCGCCTCTGTCTTCACTTTCTAACATTCTACATTATATGATACAGTACTGCACATTTGGCACGGTATTATATACTGTCGTATACTATACCATAGTACAGTAATGGCTCCAATTAAACGTGTGATCTTACAGAAGCCATTTAATTTCTTGAGATTTAGCTCCGTCCATAGTAAAATGAGAGAGTGCACATCTTACTGTCTACTTGTCAGCTATGAAAACTGAATAAGGTGGGACCAGCAGATGGCATAATGGTTATGCCACTGGACTCCCATGTAGTCAACCGCGATTTGAGTTCTGGACCCGGTTGCTTAAACTCACGCCTGGCATGTGTGCGTGCGTGCCCAAGATCCTGAGAGGAGAATGGAGGAGAAGGGATTGTGGCGTGACCATCCCCCCTGGGGGGTGATTTCTCGCTTTCTGTCTCTATGTCTCTCTCTGTCTGGCGAGCGCACGCACCCTATAGCGAAAACCTCTCCAGAAAAAAAACAAACAAAAACAAACAAAAAAAAACAAACAAAAAAAGAAAACTGAATAAGCATATTAGGTTATTAATAAACAAATAGTTGGCAAATAGAGTGCTGTATGACTAGGGGATACTATGTCTCTCTAAATGTTTTGACATTTGATTTTAAAAAGTAGGCTGCTGCCACTCATGACAGCTGCCCCCTGCCACTCATGACAGCTGCCGGGGCTGTGGCTACTGCCTCTCGCCCTGCTCCCCCGGGGCCAGAGAGGTCGGAGTAGGTCAGGGGAATATGCTGACTGAGGGGAGGTTCTGACCACTGCCGCCTCTGCACCCTGCAGTACCTGGGCTGGGCTCACTGCCTGTGAGCAATCCCGCCAAGAGAGGAATTGGGTGGGACCGATGAGGACAGGAGAGAGTTGGCAGGAACTTTGTGTAGTTTTTATTCACAACAGTAAAGAGGAGCCAACCACTTGAAACTGTTGAGACCCCGGAGGACTTCTCTTTCCCAAACCCCCTTTGAAGAAAAAAACAAACAAAAACAAAAAAAGAGAACTCCAAACCCCAGACTCCTACCATAGGTTCTAGCACTCCTACCCACAGAAGAACCAGGGACCTGGCCTGAAACTAACATACATTGTAGGGATGGGCAAGCGCCAACAGTTTCAGGGGAAGAAAGTGGACCTCCCACCCCCCTCCCACCCCAAGTTTCAAGAGCGCTTACACTGTCCTGCAAGCTGACTAGCG